CCCTCGCCCAGCCCACCTTGGCGACCTCCACCCGCGGACGGTCGGAGCGTGGATCATTAGTTCCCGGGCGCTGAAGCCGTCCTCGTGCCCAGATGAGCTGACGACGACGAATCCGATCTTGTGGGGCATCCTGTGCGCTGGGGCTGCTGGGAAGAGCAGAAAACGCTTCTTTAAAATACGGGAACTTAGTAACGTATTTATAACAGCGATAAGTTATCGCGTTGGAGCTGCTAGTTCAGGCCTCGCTCACACACAAAGTAATTCTCAATGTCTTCACAGTGTCTCCACCGCTGGGCCAGAATCCTGTTTCTCCTTAAGCACCTTTAATAGTCGCATCCTTTAGCCACACCCCAATGTCTCACGTAACACATGGCGGTTTATAAAGGGGGCCCTCCGGTACAAGGTGGAAGGGCTCTGGAAGGGGGTGGCCAAAACGGAGTCCTCAGACACCCTGGGAGGTTGCCCCTGCCGTGCCCAGGCATTTCCCCTGCCTGGTCCCTAAGCGCCAGTCCTGTGTTTTGGATTTATGGAGGCAACGTGGTATCGTGGCCACATCCTCCCCGGGGTCTTAACAGGTCCTGTTTTTCAGTCTTAGCGACACAGCGGAGGGTGTTGGCACTTGACCACCGACAGCTGGGCACAGACTCTGCCTGCGTGGCTCGCAGCTGGGTGACCCTGGCCTGGGCCTGGCCGTGCCTCAGTTTCCCTGTCTCTGGAGTTGGGGGGACAGCTGCCCCTGTGTCCGCTGTCATGCAGGTTTGAAGGACGGGCCCTCAAGGCCTTGCCCACCGTAGTGCCAAGGGCAGGGGGGGGGGGGCGGGGAGGAGCGAGTCTACCGTGCGAGTAGGACTTCAAATCTGTACGGATTCGAGATCCACCATCGCACTCAGCCGAGAACAGGGAGAAACCCGGCTAGGAAGCAGCAGGTCCTGCTCCTAAAGACGAGGCCGGACCTGGGGGTCCCGAGCTGAGGGGGGCAACTTTGATCCCCAGGAAGTGTGGCCGGGCAGGGCTGGGGTGGCACATTGGGTGTGGACCCGAGGTT